AAAGCCTGAATAATTTTGCTTGCTTTGAGAAGCTTAAGAACAAAATGCATGCTTTTTACCTTCATGCCCCCTTTTCCTCTGTCTTGCCGTTTTACTTTTCAGTTCCCGAGTGAGCACATTTTAGTTTCTGCAAATGAATCCCAACATTATGGATGCAAGTGATTTAAAACAAACAGATGAGTGATTAACAAATAATGTAAATAATTTGAAGTATTCAGGCATTTGTGGAAACCTGTGAGTCTGAGAAACTGAGATTTCTCATAGAAACACGTCAGCAGTGTGTACATGAGTGAGTCTGCGAGGCCTCAGTGATAGACAAGGTGTCAGCGCGACTAGAGGCCCATGTTCTTCACTCAGTCGATACCTTCTCTGAGTGGCGAGAGACTCAGGCCTCTTTCTCACCGCTGGTGCATGTGAATGTTAGTGTTGGGGCTGAAGAAAAAAAAAGAGCGAGACAGACGAGTGATGAGAGACTGACAGAAAACCAGCCGAGCCCGAGGATTCGCATACCGACGGTGTCTTCTCACGCACGGATTTCTCTCCTCGTCTTGTTACCTAGACAAGAGTGGAGGTGATGAAGAAGGAGGAGACAGCGCGAAGAGAGAAACCAGGAGAGGCAGAAATAAGAAGAAGTGGAAAAAGTCAAATCTGTGGGAAGCTGTGGGCTCGTGGTTGTGTTTCTGTAAAGGAGACACCCTGCGTCTCGCTGAACTTTAATTCAACCCGAGCTGTTCTTCTCCTGCACCGTTGCTGCATCAACCTTTTGACTTTGATGCTGCTGCCAGATCGCTGCGGATCCGATTTATTTTTTTAACTTTCAGGAGTGTGAATTATTGCCTGTTTTGGCTCCATTCTAGTACAACTTAATGTCCCCTAAATATTTATTTTTTTCACATTTCCTGCTCTTGTTTTGTGCCACCCTGGGATGACGTATCAACAGCAGCAAAGGGAGTATTTTTGGAGACAAATACAGCAGAACAAAAGGCGATGATGCGTCTAAATTCCCACACGAGTGAGTCATGCTCTAGTCGCCACAAAAAGACTGAAAATCTATTCATTTTGGAAAAGAAGGGGGGAAAGATGAACCGGTGACCTGGCAACGAGTGACATAAAGTAAAGTAAAAATGATGCTCCAGGACTGGATATTTTCCAGGACAACACTGGAGAAGTAATGCAAAGTGTACGTGCTCACTGAGCCAAACATGCACAACATTCTGGCTCCAGCACGTCTAAATACATTACAGCCTTTATTTATGCTCGTAACGACGCATCTGTGTGTGTTTCTTGGATGCCGCTTCTCATCCGTTTATCCCCTCCTCTCTCCGCAGACCTGCTGTCCACCAACAGGTCGTCCATCTTCAGCGGACATCACGGGCAGCTCTCTCTGACCGCCGTCTTTCTGGACGAGTACCGTGACCGGCTCTTCCTGGGAGGGAAGGACGTCCTGTACTCGCTCCTGCTGGGACCCACCAGCAGCGAGTCCAAAGAGGTGAGGCTCCTGCATACGGCGATTTATACACCATTAGTTAGTGCGCGGTCCACATACATCATTGCATTTTGATTTAAGTCGCAAGTGGTTCCAATCTGCAGACTGGTGATATACGACTGGAGGAGATAAGTGGAGCGTTTTTTTTCCCCCCCAGAGTTCCTCCTTTGCAGAACATCTGTTAAAGCGCTGCGTGTTGTAAATCAGCCGTAAATACAGGAACTTAAACCTGAACAGACGTATTTTATGGTACAGAAAATAGTAATGAAAATATTCAAGGTAAAGCCCAGTTGTCAAGGGTTAAAAACAGCTAAAAATGAACGATTTTTACTTACTTACTTATCCCGTTAACGTCTGTTGGGACACTGGCAGTGAGTCAGACGATGCACAGTTCCATTCGCCATTCAGAGGTTAACCCCCAGTCCACTAGGTCCCCCGACACCAGCTCCTCCCATGTTGTCCTGGGTCTCCTGCTCTTTCTTTTTCGGCGACATCCAAGTTCCTGATGTTGTTGATGAACTGAGCACTACGATGGACATGTCCGAACCATCTTAGACGGATCTCTGTATGAAGATCAACGAGGCCTAATTAAAGTTTTCTGAGGTAACTTTGCAGCTCCTGACCACTGGTTTGTGGCCTACACATGCCCTGCATTCAGTATGTCTGATTGCAGCTCCGGCTCTCGCTCTGTAGCCAAGATCCCTCTCATCTAAACTTCAAACTTCTTCCTTTGCCAACACATCTGTACCTTTCCTGCGGGAGGAACACCTGTAAAAGTGCAGCTACCTGTAAAGTGAACTCGTAAAACTTGTTATCGAGCTCGTTAAACATTGTGGTTGAGCTTTGTCGATGCAGGAACACATGAAAGGTGAATTATGATCCAGATTTCCAGTCTGATCAAAACACTAACGAAGAAAAAAAAAGAGGCAGAAAAAATGCTACAAAGCTGTTTTCATCAGATATGAGATCTTATCAGATTTTAAATGAAATCCATTCATTTTTTATGTCACAATGGTGCATTTCTTTGGCTCCTTGATTTAAGTCCAGATACAGTAAGTTCACAATTACAGAGAAAATGTTTCTCATATTAAGATGTGATCCATATTTAATGTGATTTATTCCTCATATCAGGAGACCTAGACGACCTTTGTGCTCTGATTTGTGGAGTTTTGGGAGTTTCTCTACCTTTGAGTTATATCTTATGAGGTTTCGGGGAGGTTTTATTGGAGGACTTTGCCACCAGGGAAACGAGCGAGTTTAAATTAGAAACAGGATTTCATTTCATCTGCATGCAGAAGAACCGTTTTTTGGGGGGAAAAATTCACCGCTTATGTTCGTATTTTACTTTCCAGTCGGGCGCCCAGTGCACTCAGTGTTCCATTTAACTGGTTCTGCAGCGAGTACAGAACAAAAATAATTCTCCTGAAAATCCCTGGTGTGTTTCAGCACTTTAGCTAAGAGCAGCAGTGTGTGTGTGTGTGTGTGTAGGTGAGTGTGTGCGCTTGTGTTCGTGCAGGGGTCAAAGAGACTGCGATGACACACAGTGAACGGCTGAATGGGGAGTTTGAAGCACACAGAGCGCCAGATTTCGCCCACCGCATCCACCTCTTAATTCTCCTTCATCTCGCTCTCGGCCTCCTCTTTCTTGGCCGACGATCACTCGTGATGCCGAGCGCCGAAATCCCAGTTTGCTGTGAGCTGTTTGAGGTTTCTGTCGGAGTCAGGGATTGTGAGTTGAGTAAAAGAAAGGTTTGGAAGACGTCTGCCGAATGCTGAGAAGAGAACGAGTTCACATAATGGAATAACCGTAAGAAAGCGTGTTGCTGTTAGGGTTGCGATGACGACCGGCTTCACAGCGATTCCCACAGCTGATCCCTGAGTTGTTTTATAAAATCACAGCATCAGGATCTTTGTGATTTGAGCACAACATTTTAGGGAATCAGTTTAAAGCTGTGAGATTAGAGGAAAGACATTGCATCACTTGGTTTTCAAATGTTTAATGGGACGTACGTGGCACTGTTACCTGGCAGCAGCTTCATTTAGGAAAATAAAAGGATATGAGATGGAAAAACAAGATAAGTGTAAGATGCCACGCCTTGCATTGAAATGGAGGAACTGCCTCTTCAAATTTAAATGAATAATCCTGTTTTTAATTTATTCCCTATGTGACAAAGTCCTTCAATAAAATCTCTGAAACTTGATGAGCTAAAATGTATCGCTCTAATTACATTCAAAATTAAAGCCATCACATGCATTCATGCACGTTTTTCAAAGTAAAACAAGTTTTTAAAGTTAATACTGTTTTATTTATTTATTTATTTATTTATTTATTTATTTATTTTTTCAATTTTGATGATCTTACTCTGAACTGTGGCACTAATGTGGCAGCACTTATTTTGTAATTTACCACGAGGCCCATGTTCTTAAGTTGACATGTACAGATGCATCTCATGATTATAATATGGTGGGAAAAGTTCAATATTTTTCATCACACATTGCTCAAACTGAAAATTGTATATATTCTAGACTCATTGTACATAAACTGAATTATTTCAAGCCTTTATTTGTTTTAACTTCAGCGAGGCTGAAAGCTCATAAAACCCCCCAACATATGTCTCAAAATATTAGAATATTTCAAAAGATTAAAGATAAATTAAAAAAAAAAAAATATATATATTGCACAAATATCCAACCTATAATAATACTTATAGCTCATGAAACTTCCCCAAAATCACATGAACATACTTTTCAAGATAAAAACAAGTAAAGGTGTGAAGTATTTCAGGTTATATGTGGTGTCTTGAGGTTTTTTGAGAAATCTCTAATGAAATATTGGAACTTTTTCCACCATATTCCACTTATATGAGATCCTCCTGCACTTCGATAATAATTTTTTCTTACCGCCTCAGTCAGAAAATAACGTGCATGTATGTGGGTGTTAATATGTAAATGAATGCATACATTCATACTTGCATACCTAGATGTGTTTTATTTCTTTTTCATACTAACATGTATATTTTATACATAAAACTTTGTCAGTTACTGAAGCACATGGCTGGAAATTAAGTTAAAGAGAACTAAGAAGTTTTGATCTCTAAAGAGTTTTGAGAAAAATAATCATTCTGAATAATTCCACTAACATGACAAATTAAATCATTGCTGACCAAATAAGCAACACTTCTTCCATCTACACTAACTCATGTTTTTTTCTGGCATTTATACCAAATATAAAGATGTTTAATAACTAGAATAACACGGCCAACTGTTGTGAAATCTGTTGTGCCAAATTGTGGTTTTCCAGTTCCAGCTCTGCCCACGAAAAACGTACAATATTTGCTTGGCATGAAGATCTAGTTTGCCACCATTGGCTCTATAAATCTGACCAACAGTGTGGTAATGGGAGGTAGAAGTAATTCTAAACACAAGGCTTCAGTTGAACACAAGTCAGACGGCTTAAACTCGGGCCAATGCAGGATGTTTGTGCCCAGAACTGGATCCAGTACCTGCAGAATCAAATCTGGGAAATGGGAAAAAATCCCCTTAATGATAATTACCCAGGAAAAAATTAAAACAAATACAGATTTAGTCCATGTATATGTTTCATTTGATGGTATAAATATTCTCCATGCTACAAGATAAACACAATTGATTGGTATTTGATATCCCGTATTTGATTACTGTAACGTTCAGGCTTGTTTCTTTGGCCTGGAATCGTGGCTCCTGGTCAAAGATGCTGTCATATGCTTCAGCAGGTTCAGACGACTGGTTTGTTTCTCTCGGTGTTTGGTTACTGACGTGTATCTTGTGCCTCCTTGGTGCTTGTGAAGATGGCATCCGGCCCGGCGCAGCATTGCTTAAGATGAATCCGTTTGAATGTAGTGTAAAAAAGTGTCAATAGAAGTAGAGACTGTATTGAAACCTAATCCTCTGGAGGAGTTCGTTTTTCTTCTCCGCTAAGGTTCATAGAAATGTTTCAGCGCAGTATTTAAAATCAAGCAATTCTTTCTCGTTGCACGCCGTAAAATGCAGTTGATTAAAATGGAAATGCATCAAACTCTGCTTCCAGCGTGCAAGAGTTCACTGCAATAAAAATAAAATTTAAAATAAAGCGATAAAAGAGAAAGTGTGTATTTCTGCTGCGACAGTCCGGGTCAGTGGAAATCTTGCTGAAATTAGGATGAAAGCGATGCATTGATTTGCAATATTTGATGTGAGCTCTGAGGTCTATTGTCATTCCTCACACAGTATTTGAACTTCACAAAAGGATTATTTTTTAAAAATCTTCTTTCAACTTTCAAAACCCGTTTGAAGATTTCTGTCCGTCCACGATTTTAAATGAACTGTTGTGTTGCTGTTGAGGTTCCTGTTTATGTGAAGATCCAGATAGAAGTTAAAACACAGTCTGTATTCATGACCGTCACTTGTTCCCAACTTCGGATGGACTTCTCCTTTAGTTCAAACGCGCTTTGTTCTAAGTCCGAAGATCAAAGCAATCACAGATATGAATTATGTTCAAGAGTGGGCTCAAAATTAAAGAGCGCTTTGAAGACGCGCGTCACTGATGACGGGTCAAGCAGCGGTCAGACAAAGGCAGGACGGGGCTGGCTGCTGGAGGTCAGACGTGTTTCCTAAAGTGTGAGGGGTGACGCTCTGGTTGGACGGAAGAATCAGTAGCAGCCAGGTTATGGGTGCAGCTGATTTCACGGTAAATCAGCATCAGTCGGGTGTATCAAGCTGCTTCAGGTCAGACTGTAGAGAGAGAACCAGGCCTCGGTCATATCAATAGAGGATCATCAGCCAAAGAAACAATTCAGAGATCTAAACCACTTCAGTCTAGGTTTAAGACTGATTTAGATGTTAATGTCAAACAAAGCCTCAATGGATTTTCACCATTTCTTAGCCAGCTTGTAGAAAAACAGCAACTGGACCCATCAGTTAGATGCTGTGAGGGTCTAAAGCAAGCTGGCGTCTTTATTGTTCTCCAGTTAAATATGAATTGATTGAGTCTAGTACACAACAGACATAGTAAAATATTCAAAGGTGTTTTTCCTACTGAAATGTTCATATGAATATCAATCTATTTTAAAATAATTGATGCCATTTGGGGAAATAAACATTTTTGCTTTTTTGTTAGATGAGAAGCATCTTTCACAGCTGAATGAACATTCTTTAGGAAATAATACTCTCTATGACCAAACAGTTTTCCAAATCATATTTAGATGCAAGTGTATTAGGATTGTAATAGTATATTTTTGGATTGAATGAACTGCACCAGGCTCTCCAGGAGGAGGTTGGGGTGGATGGATGTCGCACAAAGTGTCACAACCCTCACATCAGTGTTTTCTGTCATAAAATACCTCACAGTCTTTTCCTAACTTTAACCAGGAATTGTCCAAACATGACTATAAAATGAATAACGCTGTGTGTGTGTAAGTGGATATCATACTGCAAGAATACATGTTTTGTCAAAAATAAAATAAGGATACTTCATTATCATATTTGCAGCTTGCCAAGGATAATAGTTAATGCTTAATAGAAGAATATAGTGTGAAAAAACAGACTGGAGACACAGAAATTTTAGGCTAAAGGCAACCAAATAAGCCTCTGTAGAGCATTATTAACTCACTGCATGTTGTTGGTTTTTTTGTTGTTGTTCTTTTTTGCAAAAAGAAAGCAACTGGAAACTACAAAAAGTTTATCTCAGCCAAGAAATATTGTGGTACATTACCCCCCTGTAAAGAGGCAAAAAGCAGTTTTTACACTTTATTTTAGGTACAGATTAAATAAACACAAAAACATAGAGTAAGTCATATTAGCTCGCTAGATTTGTATTTACCGCACAGCGATCACATTGGTATCTGTCATTTTATCTAACTCCTGGCAAAAAAATACACACAGATTTCCCAGAATTTTCAAATTTCTCACTTCTGGATTTTCCCTTTAAGAATGTTACTTGAGGTATTGTGAAAATATCTTGCAAATAGCAGTAATGTCACATAAGGTACTGAATGATGACTCTGTTTTAGCCTAAAATCTTGGAAACTACACAGAAAACTTATGCAAGAAATCTCAAAATTAAAGCTCTTCGCTGTCACTGGACCCAATCGCAGGACACAAGAAGCTTTTAAAAGCCCTAAACCGAGGGTGTGTTCCACTATCCATACTACATAATATGCCAGAAAAGGTTTTAGTTTGTCCCAGTACACAGTTTGTCAAACATAGTGTTCCAAATAAACCCTGGATGTCTGGCTTCATCCAGCCAGATTCTGCAGTCTCCAAACCAGCATGTTTTTCTGGCCATTCTGTCCTCTGCGCCGTTACATCACATATGTCACAGTGTCTAAACAAACCTAAACCACCAGAGCACAGACAGATGACAGCTCCTTTCACATTACAGACAAAGTTGAAGGCTCATTATTATGACAAAGTGAGAAGTCCCAAATGTATACAGACTGCATCGAACAGTAGGCACCTTGTGAGGGCAGCTACGGCACAGACGAGTAGAAGGAAGGTGATTTGGATCTTTTTATTCTCAAAGGCACAAAGTAGAAACAAGAACACAGAAAGAGCAGCAATGCACTCACTACCAATACACCAGAAATGACAGAAAGCTTCACTACAGCTGCAAAGGGTTGTGGAGGAACTGGTGCTTTTATATCGTGGAGGTTCATTAGTGGATCAGTAAGAGGTGGAGCAGAGCAGAGAGGGGAGAAGATCAGAAAAACACAAGAACACAACAATATACAGCTGCATTCCTTACATATACGTGACTTTGAATTAAAATGACTATGGTTGTGTTTGAAATTGCTCAAATAAAACATATCAGATTGAACCGCCTGGCATTTTTGTGAAATATTTTAGATTATACTAAGTGTATTTTCCAAGATTAATAAGCGAAAACAACTTTTTTTCCTCTGTTTGCGTTGATGCATCGCTCTGCTTCCATTATTATTTATAATTTTAGTGTTTTCACGATATAACTCGTGGATTTGTCTCTTGTCTGTTGTCATTCCAACAAGCTATACAGTCGTCCTCAAATGTATTCATCTCCTTCCATTAAAGAAAAGGCAAAATTCACAACAGTCATTCAAATAACTAGAAACTGGAAAAAGTAATAATAAATAAAAATTTGCTAAATTATACTTTAGAGATTTAAGACATTGCTTTCGATCTGTGGTTGAAAAGAATAATTTAAAAAAAGCAAACAAAACTCTCCCACACTTTGCTGATGAGCAGTAAAATCCAAACACCTGTCAACAGGTGCAGAAGTCTGACTGAGAGTTACAGAAAACACCTGATGATGGCAGTGATTGGCTCAAAGGGTTGTTCAACTAAATACAAGTTTATGGGTCCTATCATGCTTGTTTGATTGAGTTTTTTTTTTTTTTTTTTCTTTTAAAAATATTTCTGTTGAACCACAATTCAAAGCAATGCCATGATCATTACATTTTTATTTGTTATAACTTTTGTCAATTTCAACTTTAGCTGTTGTTTTCCTTCTTTAATGGGAGGGTATGAACACATTAAAGGATGACTATACATATAGAAAAGATAGATTCAGTAGAAAGTATGTCTTATCACTAAGAAGTAGGCATCAGACATTCTCCTTTGACGCAATGCATGATGGTTAATATTGCTGGTTAGTGACCATCACTTGTACACAACTCTTCACGGTGCATTATGGGATACTATTAGTTCATATATAGGTTGTAACAACTATAATTTAACATTCAGACACTACTACAAAATAACAAACACTATATAGACCATTTGTTATCCAGGTTTCAGTCATTCTGGTTCATCCTGAGTCCCCTGTTTAAGCTGCGACGGCTCCAGACCTGTGAGATAAAATCTGTCTCCATGTTTAACTTGTGATATAAAAGCCTGTTTGTGATACAGAATGTGGTTCAGTTTTGAGCCACAGCAGCAGAAACAGACACTCGCTTGTCTCCTGAACTTAGTTTGCATCGTTTTTCCGTTTCTCTTTCTTAATTTACATGCTCCTCCACACAGTCACACACAGCAAAGCAAGTCATTTGTTTCCCCCTCTGGTTCCTATTCCCCCTGTTAGCCAAAACAAAGCCGGTTTCCTACCAGACCAGACAAAGACTTATTGTCTCGGAGCAGCCCGTCTCGTAGTCTGCACGAAACTGCATGACTGAATCTCAGCTGAGACCAACTTGGGCTTCAGTGGCAGTTTGATTTCATTTTTCATTTTGCAGAAAGCTGCGTGAAAACTAGCCCCATTGTTTCAGGTCCAAATTTCATTTCATGCTTATCTGAGATTCACCTCGTCTACTTATTCAACTGGCAGAAGGAGAGGAGGACTGTGGGGCTTTTCTAATCAGGCAATCTTGGATTTATTCTGTGAAAACTTGACTTGAAAATTGAAGGCAGTTTTATATATTTATATATATGTAGCTCCAGATGGTCTTGAAACGATTTCACAGCATCACTGCGGTCCGCCGTGTTTCTGTATGGAACCTTATTTAATGCACAGTGTCTCCCAAAGACTTCTCCAAACAAAAGACTTCCATATCGGAGATCCTGAAGGCGTGTGATCAATCCAATGTGTGAGGACATTTTTTGTTTTTTGGACAAATCAATCGTAATCACAAACTGTTGAGTCGTGTGGACGTTAGGATTTTATTCGATGCTTCACATTTAGCTACAAAAATAGGAGATGAGAGTGATGTTTAGGGCTCACAGCGTGACATAACTGCACGTCTTTCATCATATTTATTTATTTATTCGCTGCCATATCTCGAAATTTGGGCGATTAAAACCAAAACGATCTACTTTGTCAGTGAGAAAATTTGCCTTTTTTTCCAGTCATTTTTGCCAAACAAACGACTGCTGTTGGCTTCTGGTGTCGTGAGCACAGCGATACATCAGCCTGTCTTGTCTCAACAGAGGTTTTTCCGCTTTACGAGCCAAAAGTAAACTCCTAAAATCTTTGGCTGCCGTTTGAAAACTCCTCCGTTTCATCGTGTGCGGATGATCCGCTCAGCTCGGTTTGCCTCTAATTGCCATAAAGTTGGATTTGTTTGGAAAATAATTCACATTTAATGACACAGAAGGTTGAATATTACGTTCTGATTGCGTTAGCAGACCTCCGCAGAACTGGTGCGGCTCCCACGAAGGAACGACACTTTGCAATATGAGCGAATGAGGTGGTCGTCTGCGTTGCTTCCTAGATGAGGTCATTAATCATCCTGTTCTTTTTTTTCTTCTCACTCTGTTTCTTTTTTTTTTTTTTCTCCTCCTGCTCAGATCTACTGGCCTCCATTACCTGGCAACAGAGAGGACTGCATCCAGACAGGGAAGGAGCCACAGGTAAGCATGGATGGTTGATTCCTTTTTCTTGATTTAACATGTTTACCTCTAAAATACAGTCAGATGCATCTCTTTTCATGAAATACACATTTGTGCCTTCACTTGTGTTTTCCCATTTTGTTTGTTTCCATTGTTGTCTCTTGTAAAATTTACTCTGCAGTCAGCTTAAACACACCCAGAGGCACAGTGTTTCTGTTTCTGATATCTTTATACCCTGTCCTGACTCATCTGTCCTCTAAATGCCCCCAAGTTTAAATCCTCCAGAGGCCACCTGACCTGGCCTTGTTCTCTTAACAGCATTAACAGCCGATTCTAGTTTTCATCCTAATTTTGTATTCGGAAAACAGACTTTGAAGGCTACAGCAGCATAGCAACATGAAAACATGTTTCCGTCCTGTACTCTGTAAACAGTTTGGATCCCAGCAGTCCGTCTGCCTGCCTGTCCTGTCCTGTGCTTGTTTCATAACCCGTCACTTCTTTAAATATTTACTCGACTGACGACCTGGAATCAATACGTACAACAGTTCTGTAGTGCCCACAAGCACCGTGCTCAATAAACTGGACGCTCTTTATCACTCTGCCATCCACTTTGCCACTAATGCACCCGTCCACACTCACCACTGTGACCTCTATAAACTGGTGAGGTGGTCTTCCCTTCACCACTGGTTTCATTTACAAATCAGTTCTGGTCCAGACACCTCCCTACCTGTCCTCTCTTCTTCATAATCCTTATCATACCAGGTCTAGTGACATCAAGCTCATCATCCCCAATACTCCTACTATTTTTAACTCCTTTGCAGCAGCTGGATCACCTTACAAAACACTCTCAAACTTAGAACTCTGACTCCACTCACCACCTTCAAGCTTAAAATCCATCAGATTGTAGTCGACTGTTGCTCCTGCTGATCACGCCGGACTTTTCTTACATACTTATGCACACACACTTTCTTACACCTCATGCACATCGTTTTTCACTCATTGTGTTATGTTTATGTGTCTATTTGCGCCTGTACTTTCCATGTGTATTTGTTCCTGCTGCATGGCGCCTCTTCTCCAGGTCATGTTTGCACATAAGAGCTGCTTCTCAAACATGTTTACCTGGTAAAATAAAGGTCAGATAAAAAATAAAAATACCAATACTGGAAAAAAAAGGTGACTAAACTAAATATTTTGCTACTGAGGTTTTTAATTAGTTTCCATACTTGTCTCCTTTCTGCCTGTCCCTGAACACAGCCTGCAGTTCATCCCACTTCAGCTGAAAAGTCCCTGAATCTTGAGTCACTGATGGCTTTACAGTAGTTTGGTTTGAAAAATTGGGGGGATTTTGTCAAGTTTTTAAATGTAGAACAAAGTAATTTTGATGAACTATCCCAATTTTAAGCTTAGATGTGAAGAAAGACACAGCACGTCACAGATGAGTAGTTCAGGTACCATCAGAAAGACGTAAAATCCGGCGGTCCCTTCATATCTTTACGTGCTGTCTGCCTCGGCATCTCTTTTCCATTCCCAGTAAAGTCTGACTGTACCCCGTTGCCACAAAAGGCCTTTGTGTTTTTATAAATCCACTGACTGAGTCGACTGCTGAGCAGCTCTCTGCTCGCCACTAAAATGCCTCCGTAGGGACGTGGAGGCAGCTCTCTCCATGACAGCAGCTTGTCAGGTTGGTTTTTGGTCCTTTAAGGATTTTGGCTGCCCACCAGCCGAACCCTGGATCCACACTGGTCTCATTAGTCCTCAGTGTCTCTCATGTGTCTCCCTGCTTTGATTATTGCAGCTTGAATTTTTATGGGGTTTGAAATCTGTGATGCAAAATTGCAAAAGCTTTTCATCAAGTGACGCAAAGAGCAGAATGTTCCTTTAGCAGTCAGTGTAGTAAAGGCCGTCCTCTGACAGTTTACTGCCGTGTCGTGTTGTGCCGACACCGCAGTTTCCGACGCTACAGCAAGTAACACTCCAGGATCTTCCTCAGAAAGGTGCCGTAAACCATGAAAAAGTTTACAGTTTAAAGCAAATCTCTCATTATTGGCGTCCACTAGAGACAGAGAGGAGCTCACTTACATTTCATTTGGCTCTTGCAGCCGTAAATGAAGACTTTAGTGTCTGTAATAGAGGGAGGAGGAGGAGGAGGACATGTTCTAATGAAGGTTCAGAAACAGAGGGAGGAAGGAGGAGAGGGAGGGATAATAAAAGGAGACAGGGAGGTAACGCTAAAGTAGTACATACACAACGAGAAACACGCTCGCTGTTCATCTAATTAAGTCTCAAATAACGTCGAGAAGAAAGAGTAAAACTTCAGCTTCAAAAAACCACAACCTAAATCAAAACCTGAACCGAGGAATATGTCAGTACCTTGAGTTATTTGCTACCTCAGAAAGATTATCTAATAAAAGGCTATGAGGGTTTGTATTGTTCAGGTGATACTGCAATTTCTATGCAGCTAATCTCTGACATGCAGCTTCCATAAGACTTTCAAATAATTAAAAATTTAAAAAAAAAACTGTTAAAAACCATTCTCACTAACCGTCTGAACTCCAAACAGTTAGTGTTTTTTTTTTTTTGCTCCAGTCACATTTTTCCACTGTGGGCTCATCTTTTAACAACAATATTAAGTCCTGCACCTCTATGGAAACAACACAACAATGGCTAGAAATAGAGACAACTCAAAATGTCTTCTGTGGAGTATGATAAAGCTAGAAATACTAAAATATCAAGAATTTTTTTTGGCGTTTTTTTTTTTTTTCTACATGAATTAAAAAGGCCTGAAATCAACGTGCAGTATTTGCCCAGGTGTCACCAACAGTAAGAAAAAAAAAAGTGATTGGCTAAATATGACTAAAAATAAATATATACTTGTGTTTATACTTATGTTTTCATACTTGTCTCGTCTCTACACAGCCTACAGTTCAGCCTGACAAAATCAAAAAAAGTCCCAGAAGTTTTGTCACATAACTGTAGTCACAGCTGAGCCGGTAATGGTTTCCTGATTGTGCCGAGGAACGCAGTTTTTTTTTAAATTTTTTTACAGAATCTAGTTAGTGTGGCCGAAGTATTTTCAGGAGGCGAATTTCAAAATGAGATGTAGAGAAAAATAAATAAATAAAAGGATTTTGATCACGCTTAGATTTGGTTAAATTTACTGTAGAAGCCAATCATGTAATAACAGCTGAAAACGTAACAACGTCTGGTAACAAAATAAAGTTACACTTTTTAAAATACAATAGACCAATAACGTAATAACTGGACAATAATGTGATAAAAGTCCTGAACCAGTAACATAATATCTTTCGGTTAAAAAAAAAAAAAAATTCTTTGCAAAAAAAATAAAATCTTTGCAACTGTAATAACCAGCCAAAAGTTATTACGTTGTCGGTTCAGGACTTTTATTATGTTATTGGCCAGTTATTACATAATTGGCTTGTACATCTACTCAAGGAACAGCATGTCCTTGATGAGTAGTTCAAGGACCAACACAAAGTTGACAAATCCAGCAATTTTTAAAGTTTCTGGCTCTTTTATGTATATTTGGGCCGTTTTGGAAATATGTTAGCAGACAACAACATGCCCTTCAAACCCAGTGGCGGGTTTGGTTTTCAGAGGGTCAAAAGACAGAAAGAATAAACTATGTTTAAGCGTTATGGTCAAACTATGTTCACGTTTTTCAGAGCATCATGTGATAGGAGAAGTTCACATAGCACCCTTATTATCCTGCAGTGGGCTTTGTGCAGAGGTCTGGGCAGCTCTCATGTGCACCCAGAATGACAAAACAGACAGCGCTGGTGAAAAATTTTATGAATTATTGTGCAACGATGTTAGAGGCGCGCTAGGATTTGTCCCAGAATGCTCGATGACCAGTACAGCACTGACGACAAGCTGCACAACCTGACTGTTGAGTGTTTTTTTAGGCCCAGAAACTTAAAAAAATAATTACTTCCACCATCGTAGCAAAAGCGTTTCTTATTCTCCATCAGTCATTCATGAATCCAGGGAAACCACAGGTTGGATTTTATTGAAATAAATAAAAGATTCTAATTACAGACCGCTTTAATTTGTGAATATCTCCACATGAATCCTGTGTTAGCCCACTCAACATTCTCCTCCCGGGCCATTCACGGCTCCCCACAGCGGCTCAAGTGGATTCCTCCTTCTAAACTCGTCATTTGGATTCTTCTTGTTTGTTCGTTCCTTGTAGAAAGCAAAGGAAGGAAGCAATCAGTGAAACAAATGAGGAAAGCGTTGGAGGAAGGAATGAATAGGAGATGTTTTTTGTTAAATCTGTTCCCAGTTGGAGCTCCCAGTTGCTTTTAATTGTTCTCTGGATGCTTCAACTGGCTCCGATTACTGGTTTACACACAATCAATACACACTGCTGTAGGAGATGTTGAAGGAGCCGTAGTTTTTGTGCTTCTAGCCGCCTCCATCTGGAGCAGGTTAGTGTGTAGGTGTGTGTTCTCTGTGTTTGAAGTGGCAGGTGTGTCTTGGGTGTCTAATATCAGGTTTATTAGGTGTTTCCTCTATGCGCTGGGTGTGTGTGCGCTACTGTACCGTCTGTAGCATCGAGGAGGAGTCACGATCCATTATCGTACAGGTCTGAGAACAGGCTCGGTGTAACTCTACCTTCTCGTGCCGAAGGAGCCATAAAGAGTGTGGATTTCTGTGCATGCGAACCAAATTGAGATGTTTGTCAGCTTTTGTTAAACTGCGCAGACGTCTCCCCGCATACCTTCACGTATCTTGTTTTCTGTGTGTTTCTTGGTGTCAGATGAGATGGATTACCGCCGCGTCCGGCTGCATCTACAAAGCAGGAGAAGCGTTCGCTGAACACACGGCGCATATGTTAGCTCTCACATGTTTGCTGTCTGCGTCTGTTAAACAGCGTTTGACAGAAAGTGGTCGAGGTTGAAAGGTGAAAAGGGGCTTCACATTGTTGCTGTGGACTTTTGTGTGTTCGCGTTTGGTGTCTCGTAAATACGGCAGAGACAAAAAGTCCATTCAAATTAACC